AGCAAATTAAATTAACAAAGTATAGCTCACCTTGAATAACAGCCTGAAGATATTTATTTTTTTCCAACCACAACTCACGTTTTTTACAAGCACGAACATACCCTGCTAAGTTCCAGTACTCCTTGTTGGAACAGCTCACAACTTTTTCATCTGAACTCACTGCCGTAAACAGATCTTTTCTTCCAGGATCCAGTCCAAATACTTTGCATCTATTTAAATCAATATTTAATCTTTCTTCATCAACAGCCTCTTGATCATCATCAACTTTCTTCTGCAGACCAACTGATACTGCAAGACCATCAGTTTGTATGGAGTAAGCAAAGATTCGATTTTGGGTGGTGACTTTATTAATATTAAATGCTTCCATCCACCAAATTTCCTTTTCAGTTCTGAATCTTTGAATGGTTGTTACTCCTACTTTTTCAATTGATTTGTACATATAATATAAAGCATCAGTATCAACTAATATGTACTTTTGTTGGAAAGAGTATTCAGGCAGAAGTGTGAAGAGACAGAGACCACGTTTCCTGTTATGTTTGGTAAAGGTGCACAGGATTTTATGAAGACCTGAAAGATATGACCGCCAGGATGCTTTTACAGACACATCATCAAGAGCTTGATTTTGGAATAATGTCTGTTGCACTTTCAAATGAATACATTGAATGTGGGTAGTAAGGTAAATTAGGTATTGCAGATGTGATGTAGAGAGTTTATCAATAGTGTTTGAAGGGAGGGAAGGGAGATCTTGATTTTTCAAGTTAGTGATGGAATGGTTTATAATGGTGTTGATATGTTTTTTGGGTAAAGGAAATTGATGAATCTTAAATAATTTATATTTTATCCATCTTTTAAGTCAGTTATCGAGATTTGTTGTTATGTGGTTCTGACAATTTGTAACATATTGTCATGCAGCAGAGGAGAGAAGTTGTACTAATGATTTTTATTTGTCCAACTCATTCCTTGAGGTCAATATTGTGTATAGAGGGTATCTCGAATATTATTTATGATGGGTTCATTGGTGGTGTCAGGGGTGTTTTGGGATGTAGTTACAGCTTGGAAACATTGCCTCATATACTTGAAAGCACCTTCACTTGTGTTGAAAGGAAATTGATCACCAAGGGTCATGTGATAAAGTGCTGTTTGGTTAGCCAATCGAGAGCCTTCAAAAACAATTTGAGTCAATCTTTCAACAGCACTTTGGATTGCAGGCTCAAGATCTTTATCTTTAAGGAATCCTCCAAGTCCTGTTTTTACTGTGCATCGTTTGTATTTTGTGTTTTTTTTCTTGAACAGATTTGGATGCATGATGTTTTTGAAATTTACAAAGGTTGCTTGAAGAACGTGAATGATCACTCCCCTTACAAGTTGGACAAGGACATTCTAGATATTTAAAAAATATATATTAAGTGGATATTCCTAAAAAAATAAAGCAGATAAATGGTAAATATTTACTTGATTTTTTGTTGTTGTTGTTCTTTGTTTATGTCCTCATTTGCTTTTCTTTTGGCTGCATTTTTAGAAGATTCTGCATATGGTATATCTGTTTCTATATTAATATTTTGTGTTTTTTTGCAAGAATCTCTACTTTGTCATCACTGGGAGCTTTTTGTTTGCTTGTATGTATTAACATTGAAATGATAAAACAGAATTGACAAAATTCTAATCATGAAAAAAAAAATGGTTGAGAAAAAAAGTTGTTTTTTGGTTTAAAATGTTCTTTTGATTTCTTATAATGGATGATGATATTGTATTATTTGCCAAAGGAAATTGGAAGGAAATTGAATAAATTTTTTTTTGAAAAGATTGAAAAAATCACATTATTTGTTTACTTTTTTATAAGAAAAGCATCATTTTATTATTAATTAATTGACAATTGAATTGTTTATTGTTTATTAGCTAAAGATGCTATTTAATATTACTATCATTTATCCTGTTTTTTGGATTGTATCATTGATTTGTTTATTACTAAAAATAAAACATGCATTTAATTGAGTTGATTATTTGTTTATTACTAAAAACAAAGTGCTGCGCATTTAACTAATTGATTATTTAATTACTTAAGAAAAGCATTATGCATTTAATTAATCAATTGACAATTGAAATTTATTATTCATTTACTTGACAATTGGATTGATTATTTGTTTATTACTAAAATTAAAATGTGCATTTAATTAAATGACAATTGAATTGATTATTTGTTTATCCCTGTTGGGATAAAAATATTGTTACCGGAATTAAACTTTGACAAAGATCTTTTGGCCGAATCTCTAAATTCCGGGACAATTTAATCTCTATTTTTATTTATTTTATTATTGTTTATTAATTAATTCGTAACACGTTAATATTTATTTAATTTTATTTAAACAAAAAAAGAAAGATGCTCCGCCACCAGGGTGGTCGTGACACGGCAAATGTTTGTTTCTTGTTAAAATGGATTAATTTCTTGCTGGTATTTTTAGTAGTAGGAGAGGATTTTTTTCAAAAAAAGCTTAATTAATTTTCTTTAACAACACATTTTTGGAAAAGGCTTGATTTTAATCAAGTGATTCTTTTTCATTTTTTTTTTACTTATAAATACAACCTCTGAATGTTTTTAAAAAAAATTGGGAGTGATCAAAAGATTTATACAACGCAATCAATTTTGTGAAACGAAAATTTTCCTTTTCTTTCGAAATTTCCAGAGAGAGATAGTATCGTTGCCAATTCTTTCAATATTTCTAAATCGTTACAAAGTATGTTGCACTGATTTGATTGAGTTGTATTCTTTCGTTAATCAAAATAAAAAATAAATCTATTTGCAAATTCCACGTACAGTCAAACCTTGTCATAACGGATTTCAATCTAGTACAAATTTAGAAGGTATCTGCAGAAATATCCAATCAAATACAATATTTCTGCAGATACCTTCTAAATTTGTACTAGATCGAAATCCGTTATGACAAGGTTTGACTGTATGTGAAAATTAAATTAGCCAATCAAAAGGAGTTTCGCCCTTCATAGATTTATCATCACACACATACAGCAACGTACGAGTATCGCGTGCACTTCATTTAAAATTTATTAACGATAGTAGTACAATTGATGTAATTGATGTTCAAGGCAATTCTTGTTTAGATCAAAAATGCCAGAAAGCTGTACGAAGTTTAGAGCATGAGTGTTGAAATGGAGGAGACAGATCAAAGAATCAGTTAACTGATTTACTCATCAGAATTATAAAGCCCAAAATAACAGATAATAGCCATCATGTTTGCTGTATATCTGAAATTTGAAAATTTTCAAATGTGTTACAATAAATGTTTATTAAAAATAAAAAATACCCAAATATAAATGAACGATGTTTTGTTTTTTGTTTATTCAAATTTTTTGTTTATAAATATAAGAAAATATGCCTGTTTACAAGAAAAAATTTATAAACACGTCGCAAGAACTTGAGTTATTTGATTCCGAAGAACAAAAAGAACAGCAAGTCTGGTTGATTCCCTATACTGGACAAATATTTTTAGATTATAGGTAATCTTTCAGAAACTATATTATGTAATGTTTCTTATGATATATGGGGGTTTTTTTTTATGCAGTTTTATTTAATGCTGAAAATACTTTAAAAAGTATACCATTTTTGCATCAAATTACAATTGATCAAATGAAAATTCAACATGTTATTTTTTTTTTAGTGAATATTTGAAAAATATCGCTTTATACAATCAACCATTATGGCAGTGTGCAGTTACAGGAAAATTAAACCTTACATATGCTGATGCACTTGAAAGTGAAAAGAAACATCGTGAACAGCTAGATGAAAAGTTTCCAAATGGATTAAAAAAACCAATTTTAGAAATAGTACAATTCAGTAACTATTTCATTATTATTATCATCATTTATTTCTAAAATATTATATATTATATTAATACCTTTAATAAATTAAAAGGCGCCGAACGATTGGATGATCTAGTCACAATAATATTCGAGAGTTTTAAAGAACATTATACCATAGGAGAAATTGTCACTGTAGTTATTGATGGGAAAAAGTAGTTATTTTTTTTTGAGTGAAAAAATTACATTTATGCAGTATTTTATTGATAGCTTCTCTTGTTATTGTGGTTGTTGGCGTTGATTAGGAATAAAGCAAAAATCGCTGATGTAATTACTGCTGACTCTAACAATGAATCGGATTCAAGTGATCACAAATCTTATAAAGAGTCATCTTCGTTAAATTCTATTTATCATCTTCAATTATTGGACAAAGATGGAAAGCCAGTAAAACAACAAAATAAAAATGGAAATAAAAAATTTCTCATCAAGACTATTAATGGTAGTGAAGCATTAAGGTTCGGAAAAATATTCATTATTTAATGAGAAAGGATCTATAGTAATAGTAACTATATATGATATTAATAATATATTAATTATTATTTTATGATTAATTAAAGTCGTGATAAGTTGGCATTTACAAAAACAATTATACGTCAATTCATTAAGGAATCTGCAACAAGAGAAACTTATCTTCATGCGCCGTGGGTGGTTAAAGTACTTATATTTATATTTAAATAAAACCAATAGTTAATTTTAATATCAGCGATAATAACACACACTTGTATTTTCTTTTCTAAAAAAGCCCAAGATTGCAAAAAAATATAAAATGGCAACTAAATTACCAGATGATTTACAACAAGTAAAAGATGCCGCCTTAGAAAAAAGTCGAAAAAGAAAGGTTGGGTTTATAAAAAACAATATTTTTGTTTTTTAAATAAACACCAATACAACATATAATAATAATATTCATATGCATATATATAGAGCAAATCGACATCTAGTTGTAATCCTTCAAAAAAAGCAAAGCCAAATTCGAAACCAAACAATTCCCGGCAGTTGGATCAAAAGAAATCAACAAACAAAAAAGGTGAACAGTTAAAATATAAATATAGTAGAAAGTTCAAAAGGCAACATTTTTTTTTCAAAGAAAATAATTAATAATAATAATTTTATTTTTTTAATAAACAAAAATCATGTATAAAAGTTGAGCGTAAGAAAAGTATGCTATATATATATATATAATTTATGATTTTACATTATTTTAAATATTATGATCTAAATTATTGATTAACTCAATATTTATTTTATAGTTAAATATCCAATTGAAGATCTTGAAGTTCCCCTTGATAAGAGCCTTCTTCAAAAAAAACCAGAATTGCAAATGGATTTAAGAGTGCCTCAAGAATCTGTCGGAACATTTTTAAGTGTATGGAATTTTTTCAATATATTTGGGTAAATTTAATTATAATTATAACAAATAATAACCTTTTAATTCAAAATAACACAAATACTAAATATAATTCTTTTCATTCTTTTGCCTCCTTTGCATAGAAAATCCGTTGGTGTTTCATTTTTTAATCTAGATGATTTTGAATTGGCACTCTTACATGACAAAGTACAACCAGTATGCTTTCTTATAATAGAATTACATGTGGCATTATTAAATGCTATTATTAAAGATCGTTTGCAATCTAAAGGAAAAAAAGGCCAACTTGGTTCTCGTGGTCCCACCTTAAAAGATGAGTCAATAGAAATGAAAGAGGAAGATAATATAAATGAATTATCCGATGCTTCAATTAAATTTCTTGATAATTTAGGCAGAAATTGGGACAAAAGATTAATTCCTTTGACAGAAAGAAGGAAACAATGGGAAGATATTCTTGTCGGGTTTCTTTATGATGTAATTTTAAATAATTTTAAATATTTTAAATAACTAAATAATTTAATTTTCTTTGAAAGATTGTAATAATTGGTTATTTTCTTTGCTTATTATTTTTGGTAGGTACAAGCTCACGAAATCTTTCCATTCTTGGATAAAATATTATTAGAATTAGTTGGAAATGTAAATGAGGATATTGAAGAAAATTATATGAGCCTTGATATTACCTCCAAGTTACAAATTTTGGATCTTTTGGTTAACACAGCCACAAAAGCATCAATTGTCCACGAGCACATTGAAAGTTCTGTTGAAAAGAGAGCTGATTTAAATAAAGAAAAAAATGAAATTTTAAGGGAAAAAAGACAGATGTAAGGAAACATCTATCAAAATCAAATGCTTTTATCATCATAACCACCATCATCATCATTAGTCATTCTTGTCATTTAACGAAACTCTTACATCTTTTTCATTTTTTATTATTGTTGTTAAAATTAGCACATCTTCCATTGGTCAAATTGCACAAGGTATTATGCCAGTTTTGAGTGCTGAGAAAAGTGGGAATTCTGACATAAAAAAACCAACCGAAAAAAAATACGACAAGGCTTTGATCCTAAAACAACTTAAAGATGAAGAAATATCATTACAAAGAAAGGTATATCAAAGAAGGATAATGTTTCTAAAAGTTATCATTTTTATAGATTCTTTTCTTAATAAAAAAACAATTGATAAATTAGGAAGAACAAATTGAAAAGGACAAGAAAAAATATGCAATGCCTCGTTCTATACCTTTAGGATACGATAGATTTTATAACAAGTATTTTTATTTTGATGGTTTAGGTATAGCAGTTGGAGAAAAATATGGTACAGGTAAAATTTGGGTACAAGTTCCTCAGGAACAAGATTTGAGAATGCTAACTGATAGAGATGTGCAACACTATTACAAAAGAAAAAAAGCTGAAGATTCAGGTATGAATTTTGGACAATGGGGTTACTATGAAGACGTATCAGATGTTAGTAATTCTTCAAATATTTTTTTGATATATATTCATGTAATTGGGATTTCTATTAATCTATTTACTTATTCATTAATTTATTTATTTAGATTGATCAATTGATGAAGTGGCTTAACACGAAAGGGAACAGAGAATCTGTATTGAAGAGTAAACTTTTAAATCGCTATCAAGAACTTTCAGCTTGTTTAATGAAAAGGCAACAGGTAAGATTGATCAATTATACCTTAGTGATTACAATATATATATTAGTTTGTTATTTGTTTTAAATAAATAAATTATTTATAGGATTTGACCACACCTCGTATGACAATTGAAGTGAGAAGAAGTAAACGAGTACAAGTTACTAATGCAGTACTTTCTTCACAGTCATACATGAAATGGACAAATAAATTAGCCAGATAAATAATAATAATCTAAAAGTATAAAAATAAAAATAATAATAATATTTAATTAATTAATTTTATTTTTTTGTTATAGAAAAATTTTTATTCTTTAATTTAAAATGTTATCCTATAAAAAAAAAATTTAATATATTTACTCAAAAAAAAAAATAATAAAACCAAAAATATAATAAATACTATTACTATTATACAAAATTTTCTCTGATATATTAATATATACAACACTGATAATATGGTGCCGATCATCTAAAGATATCAAAAATCTTGGCTAAACTTTAAAATGTATAAGCTCAATTACCATGCAAGATAAAAAAAAATCTATAGTTTTATTCTATAGGACATAAGAAAGATGTAATAGAGGATTTTTTATTAAAATGAAAGAGTTATAATGGTTTAAAGTTTGTCATTTGATTCTTATCACATTTTTTATAAAATAATTCCCCGTTTCACTATGTGTCACCAATCAGGATTTTCGTGTAATAAATTCAAAAAATAAAAAATTCCGATTTGTATGTACGCGTTATAATGAATTTATACATAATCATAAAATAATTTATTTAATATATTGGAAGAGGAATATTGAGAATGAGTATTTAGAATATTTATTTAATATATTGTGTATTAACATTAGTACGTTGCGCATGAATTTACACACATAATGTCAAATAGAATCGCCATTTATTTATAAAATATACAATACAGCATCGATGAATATATAAACACATTATTACAAAGCATTGTTATAATTTATATTGACATTTATTATCACCTTTTATGATGATATTTGGCATAGAATCATCATCATTTAAATTTTCTTCGATAAATAACTCATCAATACCCGGCTTTTTTTTGGTTGGAAGTTTGAAGGTTTCTTTAAAACATCATTATTTATTTTTTCACTAATTTTTGAACCTAAGGTTTTCCTTATAGATGGGTGATTACCGATTTCTTTTAAAGGTTCGCCTTGATTGTTTGAAAAAAATTTTAAATTTAAATAAAAAAGTTACAAATGATAATAAATAATAAATTATGAACCAACACGAATATAATATAAGTTACTATTTTTTAGGTAGTACTTCGTCGGAATCTGTCTCAATGTAAGTTGGATCTTGGTATTCATCCCCTTCTTCCTGTGTTTATATTTACAAAAAAAGTTTTTTTTTATTGTTATAAAATATAAATCAAATTGGTGATCCATTTTTTGGAATTGAAGAAATTGAAAATATGCTTTTTATTTTTATTTTTTGAATTTATTACACGAAAATCCTGATTGGTGACACTGTGAATCGAGGAATTACACAGTAATTACCTTTAACAAAGAAATGATAAGAGATGTAGTTCCCTTTTATTAAGTGATAAATTTTATTCCTTAAAAATGTGAAGCGAACACTGATCATTTATAAAGAATTTCTGCTGTGCTACATGTGATAAACTGGTTACGCTTTCACTGGAATCTATTGATGTAATATATGTATCCACAATATAATCTTTTAGACTCTGCATAAGTAACTCCTAGTGATGAAATTTTGTTAGATATATATAAAAAAAGATAAGTTGGTATAGAACAGGGGAAAAAAACAAACCCTAAACTTGAGAAATGTTGTTATGGTATGTGATATTAATGCTACTTCAACCTTATTAGTTGGCAATTTTGACTGCGTGACTTCATGAAAAATATACAACCCTTGAAAAGAGGTCAACAACTCATAGACAATTGTTTCATTATCTGATATAAAAGAATTTTAATAAAACTCTTATACAATCATTTTTCAAATTCTTTAACACTTACTATATATTTGTAACCTGTATAATTTTAATGGGCTTAACTTTGCACCTGCACCACCATGTTTACATACAATTCTATTGATTATGATCTTCAGCATCTTGGTGACCTTTGATTTATCACCAAAAAAATGAGACCCTATGCAAAGTTCGCACACTTAAAATATCCTTATTATGCTCTCAAAACATACTTAAATTTGCGTAGAAATTAAGTATTGTTTAAGTGTAACATCAGTGTGAATTAAGTAGAATTTAAGTGTGTTTTGCTCTTTTTAGGGATATCCTTAAAGGGTAGAGTGAATCACGTGATAATTTAATACAAAATTCGGGGATCAAAATTTGACTTTTCCAAAATCAATAATTGTCTTAAAGGCGAAGCTACATGAGACGCATTCAATAACTCCTGTGTTATTCTATATGTGTATTCTTCTGTATAGTAGTTATTGAAAGTGTTTTTTGAATAAAATCTTCTTTTAAAATTCTTCAAAAAACAAAACTCATCCCATAACTCATCCCATATTAACATATACTCATCCCTTAGTAACAAATATTCATTTCACATTTAAAATACTTAAAACAGGTAATTCGGACATTTTCCGAACAGGCAAAACCTTTATCCATTTGTCATCATGGATAAAGGTTTTGCCTGTAGAGGGATATATTATAATTATCCTACCCATGAGTTTGTCGATCACATAGTGAGTTATCCGGACAAAATCCCGGAGATCAACATCAGAAATATCCACGCCACACACCCCGAAAGGCAGAAGCTTTACCCATTGTTATTCCATGGATAAAGGATTTGCCTTTCGGAAAATGTCCGAATTAGGTGACTTAAAATTTATTATTATTATAGTAATAGGAAAACTTATTGGACATTTTGTGATGATCAACATTGAAACCAATAAAAAATTTTTTTGATCCATGGTTTACTGGGGTTGGTCACAATGGTTGATCAAGCATAATGGACACTCGTTTTATCACTTTGTGACAAAATCGATTGTTGATCTTTTTTATGTTGTGAAACATGTGATTTCAATTGTTTTAAAATAGAAAAAGGCGTATATGTATACAAAAAAATTATTATTAAGGTACATAATAATTTTTTTGCATAGAAACGTTTTTTATGTTTGCCTTTACTAGTAGATTAAATAAGATCAAAAGATCATTTCTAGATCAAAAGTTAGATGAGAACTAAAGTTTGAAATAAACACTATGTGTATGTAAACATTTTATTCGAATTAAAATAATTAAATAATTTTTTTTACCAATTTTTAATTAAATCAAAAGCATTTTTAAAGTCTAAAACTATTTTTTGTTCTTCAGTTATATTTTCCTCTACCTCCTCATCTCCTGTTACATCAGGCTCTTCAAATTCATCATCATCATTCAATGAATCAGTCAAACTTTCTTTTTCTAGTCTTTTTATATAAGAAGATACATTGGAAATTATACCCGCTTTATAAATTCCAAGCAATAGATACATTGATTATTTTTCATTTCATAGCAATTTTTATGAAATCCATGACCACATATCAGCATTAATGCACTTTGATCATAATTATTTTCAAAACCAAGGTTGCAATAATCACATCCATTGGAAGATGGTGGTTTACTGGTATGATATCCCATTGGAATGCATTTCAAATTGATTTTTTTATTCAAGGTTGCTAAATAATATTCTTTTTTGATAATTTTTTTGCTTTTTCCCATATTTAGGTAAACTCTATGAAAATAATCAATTAAGAATAAACTTGTTTTATATTTAAGAAAATCTAATGTGGATTCTTTGTAAGGGTATTTTTTTGATTTCTTAAATACATTGATAAATGATTGATCCTGAGCTTCTAACACTAATGCTTGTAATGTTATTGCTTCAGCTGAATATTGTGGATTAGTATTGGCTCTGATTTTACTATGCCAATTTTCAACATAATAATCATTGAAATTGACAAGAAAGGATCTTAGTGCATCACCAAATGGATGGTTATTGTCTTTCCAATAGAAATAATCAGAAAGAAAGGCAAGTGGTATTTTATTGTAATTTTTTGTCCCCATCTCAAAACAAAGCTCCACAATCTAAAAATTGTATCTACATATTGTTCGAAAGAACCTGATCAAAATATAACAGCATAAATATCCAATGCAGCTGGAATTAAATTGTCCAAAAGATCTATCATTGTTTGGTATTCCAAATCTTTACATACTCGACCAATTTTTTTATATATTTCTGAAGAGATTTCAATCCAGGCAGATCTAAGAAGTTCAAGAAGATGATTTATCCTCCAGGGCTTTGGCTTTGCTGCTAATATTTTATTAATTCCAAAGACTGATTTATACATTATTTCAAAAAAATCCCAGTGTATACGCACTAGGGGTTGGCACCGTTAACTGTTTAACCGGTTAACCACAATTGAACGGTTAACCAGTTAAGATATTTTTTTAACCAGTTAACCACCATTTATTAATTTTTTTTATATATTAAGTCAAACCTCGCCACAACACATTTCTTGTTACAACAGATTTAAGTATTGTCCTCTTATTAATATTAATTAAGACGTTTGTCATAATGATAACGGATTCTACTACTAATAATAAATTTGTTCCACAGATTTTTGATGGGGTCTTTCTATATTACAGCAGATTCACGTGACATATAAATGTCCAAATTACCAAAATTGATAGAGGAAAACTGCAATTCTCCCTTTGAAAATGAAATATCTAATAATGAAATTAAAAATTCAAGAAATATAGCCAAAGAGATTTCAAAATGATGTTAATAATATAATAGTTGTTGAGAGTAACACTATGTCTAGTTTCAACGAAAGATGCCGTAATTTCCTTTGAAATAGCTTTTAATTTCTTCAACAAAGTGATTTAGAAATAGATTGTAAAGAATTTAAAGCATTTAAACCATTGAAAAAAGTGAAATTATTGGATAATACAACCAAATATTACATCTTATTTCAACAAATAATTTTCATTTTCTTATGTATTGTTCATTTATTCATTTATTTATTTTTGTATTTAGTTTATTAATTTATTGCACTATACTAAACCTCTCTATAATGAACACTAAGTAAATTTCTCTATAACGAATTTCCCTTTTGTCGCCTGTCTCTGATTCAATTATTAATTTCTCCCTATAATGAACGAAAGCAGAAAAATGCATATAATGGACAGAGGGTTCCATATAGAGAGAGCTTTGTATTATTACCAATTTTGCTGCTGCGGATTTCTTGTCATAATAATAATAATAATAATGGATTTTTTTGGCTGGAACCATGAATCCGCTGTGGTGAGGTTTGACTGTAATCATTTAGCATCTATTAAGTGTATAATAATAAAATTCAACAGCGCGTGATTATTTTGTAAGTAAAGAACGATCGAATTTACCAGTTAAAAAAATTCCACGTGACTAAATTAACCGGTTAACCTTTAATAGAATCTACAAACGCAGTAGACAAAACCGCATATCAAAAAATAACCAAAAAATTAATTAAAATAATTAATAATTTGATTTTTTTGATTTATTTAAAAATCTATGGAAAAGAGTTCTCTGAAATAATAACTTCCCTCATTAAAAGTGCCAAATTCACTGTTGAACAAGTAAATTTGATTAAGAACCTAATGTGAAACCAGAAGGTTTTCTTTCAAAAAAAACTCAGAAAATTGTCACAAAACATTAGAAAAAAAGGAAAAAGCGACACTCTAAGATGGGCAAACAAGTTTCATTCAAATAATCGTGTATATATTAATATATTTGCGGAATTTAATTACGAAACTTTTATTTACTATTACTATCACGGTTTTTCCATTTGTATTTTCGGAACTAACTATACTGATGACTCAATTACCGATCATATCCCTTTTTTCAAGTGGAATAATGTATGCCACAATGCTGTTGAATGGCCATATAGAGCACAATATTATAATATATATGCTCCGACAAAAGAAACCAATTGGTGGTGTGAAATTAGCCAAAACTAGAGTTTCGAAAATCAAAAAATTTTGACTTTCTCCTCTTCAAAATAGTTTTGGCAACCAACACTAGTGTAAATACAAAACTTCATCTCTTTCATTAATCCACTTAATCGAGACTTTTAAAAGGTATTTTTTTCTGACAACATTTTTTCCAACTCTTCCCTATGATACAATTTGCGTAAATTGCAAAGTGAAGAAGCATGTAATTTAAAATATTGTAAACAAATGCCATTGTTTTTACTATATACAATTAATTGTTTTTTAAAAATAAATGCCATTTTTTTAATTGTTTTTACTATTTACAATTAATTGTTTTTTAAAATAAATAATAATAAAAATAAATGCTCCTATTTAAATAGGACCATGTTTTCCAATGTTGCCTATTTTCGGTTTTTTTCTACAGAACCCCCTATGATTCTTTTAATAAATTTTTTTCTATTTAGAACTTTACGTATAGTCAGCAGATTATATGACATAAAATCCTTCACTGTTATCAAAATTTTCTTCGAATCCCAGTCCAGCT